CTTAATAAGTAAATATTTGTTAAATGAATTAACATTCTATCAGTGTTTTCAGGATCAGTCTATTTGGCAACAATGGAAAGTTTGGACTTATTAAGACTAAAGACATAGGAGACAGAATTTCAGATTCGATAAGCATTACGAAGCCCTACATAGCCTGTGTCTCTGTAGAAATCTAAAATAAAATGGCAGAAAAACTAAAAGTTGGACAGGACAGAGTTCAGTGTATTATAATGAAGACTTACATGTTTAAGGCAACATTCTGTCCTTCAAGTCCCTTTCTAAGCCAAACTCTAACCAAAAAGCTGACAACTTTGTTATCATTTTAGGTCAAATGAGCCGGACTCGATTTATCATTATGCCAACCCAAGGAGAAGGACGGCCATGCCCCACAGAGCTTACCCAGCAGAAAACCTGCCCAGTGACCCCCTGCTACAGCTGGGTCCTTGGCAACTGGTCTGCATGTAAATTGGAGGTAAGTCATGGACTAACACTTAGAGAAATGCTTCTCAGTATGTCCAAAGCACTTGTCTTATCAAACCTATGTGCTGATGGAATAAATTTCACAGCACCAGGGATCTGGAACGATGTATTTTTAATGCAATGGAGAACATGAAAAAATACAGCCAAGTGACTTAACCTCATGCAGAGTAATATTGCTAGGAAAATAAATAGTCATTCGTTAGGCACTGATTATAATAGGCCAGGTCATGAGACTTTCAATCCCTTTGGCATCCTCAAGAATTCTGTTATTTTCTTGACTTGTTGGTAATAGCAGTGTTATTTGATTAGGCAAAACCCTGATGCTGTGGAAATGCACAGCTTGCTTTAGATTGTATTTCTTAAAGAGGCTCTTCTAAGCTTAGGAAAAAATCTTGCATATGGGCAGAAAACCAAAAGTGCATGAAAGTTATATTTTAACATTATTACACGAACCAAGGTTACTACATTTTCCTCAATGATTACTTTTTTATTCGCCTGAAATATAAATGCCTAGCAATGTCATAATATATCACATACCCAGAGCTTTTGCTGGATCAGCAAAGATCCTCTACTGGCTTCTTGCTTAAGAGAAAGCACATTGATTTTCCCTATTTTCTTATTTCACTAGTTTATCCTTCAGTTCATGTTCCAAAGCAGATTTTAATTAGGTAACAATAGTTTTGATTATGTGTTAAGAAATCTGCTGAGTATTCTCATAGAGATGTTTAGTGTTCTGTCAAAATGACACTGTCATGCAGCATTATTATCTTGCAGAAGTTAAATGCCCATGTATTTAAATAGGTCCCAGAGAAACAAAAATGTGTGGTACATTTGTTCAGTCTCCTTTTTACAGAAAATAAAGTAACCATGCTAATTAACTAATTCAGAAGTAACCCAGTAGCCTTAAATATTAAGATTTTGTCAACTAGTCTAAAATCTTCTTTCCTAAGTCTTCAGCAATTTATAAATGCTGTTCGGAATCATTTACAATTAGAAAGAAAATGGAAGGAATATTTCTCCTTATAATTGTGATAAGTTTGACAGAGTAGAGAAATAAACTCAAAGAATTCAGGAAGCCATGGCAAGGGGAAGGGAAAGGAAAGTTCGGAAGAAGAGAGGGAACACAGAGGATGGGAGGCGGGAGGAACAGAGAGACAGGACTGACGATATCCACACTTCAAGTCTCACTAGGCGTGCAACTACTACTGTGCCTCACTTGTTCTTTTGAAATTGCCCTTCTCTCTTCTCAGGTGTCAGGAGCTTTTTTTTTTTTTTTTGATAGACAAGTCTGCCAACTTATCCCATAGGAACATTACAAACAAATGCCAAATGTAATGTTTTGCTGTCCCATGTTAAGGTTTTGCCAGAACCAGAGGGACAAAAGTGGTGGTTTGTGACTATTCTC